TTATTTTATTTCTATTGTGCACTCTAATCAATATTAATCAGAATCAGAATCAAACTATTGTTCGTTTATACATTTTAAGAATGGCGTTTATCTTTTTTGAGAATGAGTTCTTATTTGATTTGATTTGATTTATTGGGGTCTACAACAGATGATACAAATGTTTGTGTCAGTAAATGTGTGGCGGGGGTGTTTGTGAAAATAACGGGGACAGAGCTGCTGTCAGACGAACAGCTGTGCGGCGTCATCACAAACGGACGTCGCTTCACGTGACGCTCCGGAGGAAAGGACGTCCCATTGCTCTTAAAACTCATTTCCCTGCTTCTCGTGGTTTCCTTGCTTCCCTCCATGCTTCCCTGGAGGGAGGGACTAAACACAGGGAAACGACGTAAGTGAGGGAAGCAAGGATTTCATTTAACCGACCTGAGACGGGGCCAGAGGCAATTCAAAGTGCTTTACATCATCATTAACACTTAACAAGAAGACAACAGAAAGGAACACAATAAATAAACATAATGGAATAACAGATTCATAAAAACCATGCAAAAAAGAGATACAGAATAGTTTTAAAAACAACATTGTAAATACGGTAGGTGCTAAAACAAGTTCAAAGACTTCTGGGTAAGCAGATTAAAAAAAGTAGTGTTTTTAGTCGCGACTTAAAATAACTCAGCGTTGGTGAAGACCTCACCTTTCTGGAAGTTTGTTCCATTTTGTGGGGAGCATAAAAACTGAAAGCAGCTTCGGGGTGTTTGGTTCTGAGCCGGGGAACAATGAGTAAGCCCGCCCCCGATGATCTCAGAGCTCTGGGTGGCTCGGACATATATTGGGGTCCCAAACCATTTAATGCTTTATAAGTTAGCAATATAATTTTAAAATCGATTCTGTAAGCTACTGGTAGTCAGTGCAGAGACCTGAGTACTGGGGTGATGTGTTCTACTCTTTTTGATTTGATCAGGACTCTGGCAGCAGCGTTCTGGATTAGTTGCAGTTTTTTTAAGTGATTTTTTTATAGAGACCTGTAAATACACTGTTACACTACTCAAAAACAAATGCGTGAACTAGTTTTTCAAGGTCTGGTTGAGACATGAATATTCTAAGTCTGGCTATGTTTTTCAAGTGACAGTATGCTGTGGGATTTGAAATTGAGGTCGGGGTCCAGAACTACGCCTAGATTTCTCACCTTTTCCGATGTATTTAGCAGCAGGGCTTCTAGTTTAGCGCTTACTTCAGACCGTTCCTCCCTTATGGCACCAAAGATAATTGTCTCTGTTTTTTTTTTGTTTAATTGTAGGAAATTGTGGCTCATCCAGCTGCTGATTTGAGCCATGCAGTTGGTGAGGGATTGTAATGGTCCATAGTCGCTAGGCTTTATTGTAATGTATAACTGAGTGTCATCCGCATAATTGTGGTACGACATTTTGTTTACTTTTAGGACTCTAATTTAAGAGTATAAATGCTGATGTCTATTAGGATAATCAACCACACAGACTTCTCTCTGTGTGGGCTCAGCTCTTGCTTGAAAGGACATTTTGAAGTTGTCAGCTGACGTTTTAGGAAATGAAGAAGTAAGTACTGGCCCCTTCTGCCAGTCTGTCAAATGGTGAGAGGTCACCTCGATTCAGCTTAACTAGAATAAAATGGACACTGTGAAAAAGGGCAAGAAGCAAACATTTTATAAAGTCATAAAATAAGCTTCCTAAAGTACGATCAGCAACTACATGTTGCAATTCAAAGAAAATCCATAGGATTTCTGAAGAAAATGTTTAAGGAGGTGTTTTTTCAAATGCTGATAATAATGTGCTACTGTAACGTTATGATTTGTAGTTGCTACCGTAAGTACGAGAATGCACAGAAGGACATTTTTGTTTTATAATAAACAATAAAATAATAAACAAATGTCTGAATGGATATTTATGATAATGTCTCATGAGATACATGAGACATTGTCATAAATATCGCAGTATTAATGTCTGAGTGCCTGCATGTGGTTTGTCACTGTTTAGTCTTTCTTCTCTGACCATGAAACTGAGCATCATGTTCCAAGCTTTCCCAACACTAGAGGAAATGAGAGACTTGTCTTCTAAACAATGTTTCATATTCCATTCGAATAAAGTCCTTGAATTACGAAATGATTGGACTATTGATAGCCATTATCGACTGATGGAGACATGCTTTGTATTATAAGTATTGGTTGCAGATACTTTAGAAGAACTGTTGGTAATCATCAGGGGATTTGTTTTTTATGTCCCTGAAGAAACAAAGCTCAATAAAAAGACAGTTATTGCAAAAGCAGCACGTTTTGACTTCATCAGGGTCATGATAAAAACACACAAAAAAACAAATAAATGTAACAAGCTTGAATGAAAAACAGTCAATTGAGTGATTTAGGAGAGAAACGATCTGTATATTGAGGTTTACAACACCTGTAGGAGTGAACAAAACGGATTATTTCAGGAGAAATTGATAGTAATAATGGCACTATACAGTTGCACATGATCGTCTTGCATTGATGCAATTTGTTTTTTTTTTCATATTGCATCCTGTAAATCTTACATACAGAGCAACCAAAGCATTGTGAAACACACAATTAAACAGTACATTTTGATAAATAATCTGAATGTAATTGAATGTTATCTTAACCCCACATTTGCACAAAAAATATGCACTTTCAAACTTTTCTCCTCTGTTTTCCACAGAGGGAAGAAGCTGTCTTCTTTCCTGCCCGTACATGTTGCCATGGGCAGTGGGGGGTTGCTCTCCACTCTGAGAGGGAAGTCGAGCCGTCAGACGGGGCTAGAGCAGAACCTGTTGGAGGAGTACAGAAAGATCAGCTCACCTGCTGGGAACTCTCCTGAGCCCACACAGCTCCTCCACCAGTACCTCAACACATGTCACAACCTGCCTTACTATGGGTAAGGAGCTGTATAATGAGCCATTTATACCAGTGTTCATTTTGGCACCTAGTTAACACTTAGACGTTGTCTTTATATCAATCAGAATCTGAATATTTTTTTTGAATAATTGAAATACATATTTACCGTAATTTTCGGACTATCCTGAATATAAGCCGCAGCAGCGGCATACCACTCTCGGTTCCACTTTTACTTTTGCGCGCTACCTGTCTCGGCGGGTTCCAGCAGGAAAAGCTGGAGGCCGGAAAAGAGTGAGACAGGTAGCGCGCAAAAGTAAAAGTGGAACCGAGAGTGGTATGCCGCTGCTGCGGCTTATATTCAGGATAGTCCGAAAATTACGGTAAATATGTATTNAGAGAAAGTCGACGGTGACGACCCACTTTGATTCATTCAAACATTCGAAAATGCTTTCTGCTGCTGCGGACAAGAAAGTCAAACAACTCACGTTCACCGAGGCATCAACCTCCAAAACCCTTTCGAGGGCCATAAGAAACGAAGTGAGTAGCCTACAAGATTGAAGCTGGTCAGATAACGAACGAGGCGGAGAAGTGTGTGTGTGTGTGTGTGTGTGTGTGTGTGTGTGTGTGTGTGTGTGTGTGTGTGTGTGTGTGTGTGTGTGTGTGTGTGTGTGTGTGTGAGAGAGAGAGAGAGAGTAATTAAAATACGCCCTATTGTTCTTTAACTAAATAAAATAAACTATTAGAATGTTAGTTTAATTAGAACGAAGGGTAAAGGGGTTTAACGTTAGGTGGCGTAGGTTGTGTGTGAGAGAGAAATAAATAAGACACGACCAATTAATTTAAAAAAATCTATTCTTTTCGCAACTTTCCGGATATTTCGCAACTTCCCGCAATTTCACCGCATAAAATCACATAAAAACCCTGCATGTTTAATCGCATAATCAAGTTTTTTAGCCCGCATAATCAAGGATTTTTGCCCGCGTTTTTCTGGAGGGTCTAGTTTATGGGATGCTACAATGCATGATCTGTTTGGTATTTTGAGCCAAACACTTCAGAGACATTTGTATATATCTGAGACCTATAATATATTGTTGAAAAAGTACATAATAGGGGAGCTTTTAAGTAAATTGTAATTTGAAGGTAAGAGCCTATGAAGCTACAGTGCATTTAATACAAAACACCTCATTGCACTTGGTCAGAGGTAGTTTCACATCTTTGTGACCTCAACATAAAGTACAGTATATCAGTACAGTATATATGAACTGTTTATAACCTTTGTAACATAAGCTTTTCTAAACTTTTAATATCGGGATGTGAATTGACCGTGCTGTCCTGCAGGATGACTCACCCAGCCAATCAGACCCGGTCGCAGCTCACAGAAATATTTAAGGTCAAAGTTTCCAATCCGGGGGTTTAGCTCTCTTCCGATGAAGAAGTCATAAAGTGGATTTCCTGGAAAAACAGACAAATGAATGATTTTTAAAAACTGAAACACATTAAATTATTGTGTAATTGAAATGTCTGCAAAAAGTAATTTAACATAAAGGTATACATGTGATGTAAGTCTGTCATGTCGTGAACTTCATCAGCAACATTTTAAACAATATCAGTGGTCAGTTTATTGGCATTTTTCTGAAACCAGAAACAAAGCTTTTTCAAAGCAGACATTCTGACACCAACATTTATTGCATTAATAAGGCTATATTCCACTTAGATGCATCAGTTCAATGGTTACATGCTGTGAAGAACAGCCTGTGATGTTCAATCCTCTGCATCTGTTACTAGGCGACGAGAAGTGTTATTTTTGTAGCCTCATACCACCTGCCTGTCTCTGCCATCGCTCAGTTATTTTCAGCTATTTTCTACAGCTCTCAGAATGCCTTTTAACAACAACCAGAAAAGGAGAGACATTTTTTTTGCTTTCAATTGCTTGAGTATGTCATGCAAGCAGCTCTGCAAAGCTGTACTTAGCCACAGCGTGCTTTGAGCATAATGTAGAATAAGCACTCAACAGGTACAGTAAGTACGTATATAGACTATAAGGTGAGCTGTAGGCAGTGTGATAAATGTTTACTCAGGAGAACTGGTACATTCGACAAAATACAGTACAAAGAACTTGATAAATGTTTATGTTGAAATTGAGACATTAATAAGTCACATGTAAGACTATTAAAGGACTTTTAAGGCCTAGTATTTATAAAATGGAATTTGAGACATTTAAAGACTATCTTAAGGACCTGTAGAAAACCCTTATCAGGCTAACTAGCGTTTGAAATTAGCACCAAACACCAAGTACAGGTGAGGCAGTTGAGAATTTCTAAATGTTAGCAGGGATATGTGCAGCTAAGTGTGGTTAAATGTGCATCTTTCTTTCATCTATCTCTAGAGCAAATGTATTCTGCTTTCTCCAACCTACATTCACACATAGGATTAGCTCAATAGCAACAACATGCTGATATTGTTTCTTCAAAAACTGGAATGTTAGCTAGATAAAGCTGAATCAGAATGATGGATGTTCTCAGGTACAGAAGCAGACGAGCACAGCAGGGGTAGCGAGGTCAGCTTACTGGAAAGAGTGTTCACTTGATGCCGTTAGATATATACCCCCAGGAATACCAAAAATCTTCAACAGACAATAAAAGAGCCCTGCAAATGCATCTCCAGTTTCAAAATAGTACTTCAAGGTGGGATTTGAACCTCCACTCTCACCCGTGTTGCCTCCCAAAGCGAGAGCATGAGAAGGAACCCAGAAGGAGCGGATGTAGAGGTAGAGGGAGAACAGGTATGACCCCGCTATCGCGCACGCCGCCAGAGGCAACAGCAGCTCGAACAGAGACCCCAGAGGAGCCCCCAGCCCCAGCAACAACATCAGCAACACACCGCTGATGCACAGGCTGTGGAAACCTGAGGGAGAGAAACAAACACAGCTCAGTGCTGGTGCCCGGGGGGAAGGGATAAGCAGACTGACACAGTTGGAAAAGATGGAACTTAAGTTGAACTTAAGTTAACTTTAGCTCAAGGTTGGATCAGTGTAGAGGTTAAAAGAAGATACATAAAAAAACATGACTCAAATGTATTTTGCATTGTACTACATTGCAGTATTACATTTGAAAAAAGCATTTGTACTCAAACTTGGGTAAAGCACAACTTGAAAATAATACAGCTATAATAATATTTCTACTACATTCACGTAGACATTATGTCCAACAGCATAGTCATCCTCCATTACTACAAATACAACATGCTCATTAACTATTTCATATTTAAAATATGACTAAAACTGTGCATTGATTTATAATGCTAAATCCTAAAAAAAAATGTAAAAATGAATTATATAATTACCATTGATGGGATACTTGAGACGCGTTCCATTCCTCAGCACTAATCCTTCAGACACCTGCAAGTAGATTGAATCATTTGAATTCTGAACACATCAAACATATCCTTTGCATGAGTCAAAAATAGGAACATTTCAATCTGCTGCTCTAAGAGAAAATCATCGAAGATCCGGGTCATTTTATCCTCTGCAGTCGAACCATTGTACTTTATCGCGCCACTGTTAACGCTGTGTCCAGCACTTTATGAACATCCATATGTCTCTTTGTGCTCCAACTTATTTTTAGCCTGCTACATTTGAATATGACTTTATAGTTGGACATTTCTGCGAGAGCCATGAAGCTCAATATCACTCTAACACGTTATTAAACATGAAGCCACTGTCAGCAGCAGCTTAGACTTTGCATTCAACACAGCGAAGCACAACACATCTCGCTTGGCTCTTTTTAAAAGCTAACTGTTAGAGCCAGTCTTTTGGTTTTGTAAAAAAGGCCAAATATTGTCACCTTATCATGACCTCTGTAGTCAAGAGACTATAAAAGACTACATTTCCCACGGCACCAGCAATTCAAGATACACAGATAGGGGACACCTGTATGGAAGAGGCCGTTGAGTTATAATAACCTACACAACGTAAAGAAACAAGATGGTATTAGTTGTTTATTCTTTTATTTGAGTTTTGCCCCATTTTGTTTTGATTTGTTTGACTATTGTAAAGGCCTATTTTTGTGTGTAGAAAGATTTTTATTTTATTTGTATTAAACTCAAGTGGCACAACATCAACCGATCATCGGAAGCCAAACAAGTCATAACGACTGTAAGTAAATCAAATAAAACAAAATAACTGTCTGTTTAAGGCGTCTAAGCAGCTTGATGGAGAAAAAGGGAAGGAGGCATGACAGTAACTAACACATCCACAGAAAAGCATCTTAATGATCACCTCACAACTCTGTGTAAGTCCAGATGCAGGATCCTATTGCTGTTTTCATCACCACAGCTGGTTTTAATGTAGGTCTAACCTTGACCCAGGCTGCTGAGCTTGTCTTACCTTTCCTAATGGCAACACATAGAGGAGGGCATGCAGAGAGATCCAGCCCAGCAGAAGCACAGGGGCCAGAGGGTCCCACAGCTGGTCAGTGGAGGGGAGGGCAGGGGGCCACTGGAGCAAACTGGCCTCAGGGGATCGACTCACACATATCAGGAACATCACCGTCAGCGGCAGGAGGATGGGAATGCATAATGCACCTGAGAGAGGATTACAGAAAGAGAGATGAAACATTGCTGACATTACTGTCATTGTGTTAAGGGGATTTGTTTAGGTTGTGCTTAGCTGTGTGGCAAATGTAACAGGATAATAAAGTATACAGTTTAGAGTTAATGGTTACATAGAGATCAAAACAGCTTAAATAAAATGAAGGTAGATGTATTGTGGTGTGCTGCTGTCACTCACCCAGGGTCCCTCCAAACTCCCTTTCTGTGTCATGTGAGGGTCTCTGTTTGAGCCCTTGACTGTTCCGCTTCATTATTGGTCTCCTGGGAAAATATTATGGTGGATCAATTTCAGTCAAAATATAGACATTTGTGAAACAATTAAATAGTAATTAAATGGTAATGGAAATTAGTCAAAATGACAGCACAAGAGATTTAGATGATTTCATTTGTAATATACAGTAAAATAAAATAAAAATACATACGTTTACATAGCATAATGAGGTATTATTACAGATTGAAGGCCCTACATATCCACACAGGTGTTTTTAATCACTATGAAGAAACCAACCTGTACTTACAAGAAAGTTGTATCAGCAAAGTGAGACAGGTGCCAACCCCCAACAAGTTATAAAATAGTTCAAAGTCAAATAACGTGAAGTTATGATATCTTTAAATCCAAAGTTGTTGATAATGTAAGGATCCCCTCATTCTTGTTGCTTGAACTTTTATATAGTATATTTCAATATATTTAACAGGAGAGGTGGAAGAAGTACTCAGATTGTGTACTTAACTAAAAGTAAAAGTACCAAGAGTAGGAATACTCTGTTACAAGTTAAAGTCCTGCATTCAAAACTTACTTAAATAAAAGTTTAAAAGTATTGGCATCAACATATACTTAAGAGTACAAACGTTAGTTTGCTCATTATACAGATTGGTCCATTTCTGAATAATATACAATATATCATGTGATTATTATAATGATTGATGCATTAGAGTGTTATCAAAGCTGGAAAAGCTGGAACTCAGTTTAATTCCTTTGCATATAGTGAAAGGCAGCTTGTGGATTTACTCCAGATGTAATATTAATTGAATTTAAATGTTGATTAAATGTCACATCATTAATCCAAATCTGCAACGTAAACAGAGGAATAGTGGGGTAAAGGTACAATATTTACCTCCGAATTGTAGTAGATTAGAAGTACAAAGTAGCAAAAAATGCAAATAATAGTAAATGTACTAAATTACCACCATCACTGTTTAACAGGCAAAAGGCCATTCTGACACTTTCCAAGGGGCTACTTTTAATACTTAAAGCACGTGTAGTAATAATATTTCCCTTGAGATTTAAAATACAGGACTTATAATATTTTCCTGTATTATCTCTGAGCATGAAGACACTTTCAGATGCCATAGACCGGTGGCAAAAATAAGAAATAAAAAAGGCGAAGGGAAGTAACAGTGTGAGATTTAAGTGTCGAACAAACTCGGAAATATTCTTTTATGTAGCCCATTCTTCAAATTTCTTGACATCATTTAAACGACGTCTTATTGTGAATTATTATGACTGTTAAACCACAGAGTTAAAGTACAGTTCACACCGCTGGTATTTCCTGTGTCCATGCAGCTACATTTCTATTATGAAACATGAGACGAAAGGCCGTCTAGTTGTTGTCCCATTTAGCTTCTAATGCTAAAATATTCACAGCGTAAGAAAAATGAATTGACGAAGTCTAAGGCGTATATATAGAGCAGAAACAAATGACTGTTTGTGACAGAGTAAATGCTGTGTCTTACCGGTTTAGAGGTGTAGATGGGACGGTATTATTTCCCAATGCATCCATCCAGCAGCATGCAGATGGACACGCCTCCAAAACACGTTGAACAGCACAAAGATTTCACTAAGCCAATCAGATCACTCCGTGGTCATCAGAAGAGGGTGGAGAGAAGAAGGCTTGGCCAATCAAATGAGCGCTTCAGGTGGCGACAGAAATAGTGGGAGGAATGGCTGCGGACGTTGTGAAATACACCTGAATTACATTGATAATGATATTTATGTATATTTGTGAAAATACTATTTAAAACGAGTATTGCAAAGGAAGAACACACCGTTTTGATCACAATCATACAATTTAATTGAATACATAGACATTATATAATTCCTTCACTTATCTGTTGAAAAATGTCACAGAAAACAGAATCAACCAGCTTGAAGTTACAGTAAATCTTCAGGAGTGACTTTAGTGTTAGACATGGATCACATAATCAGATGACATTCATATTGCATATTGTTCAGCAAAAGATCCCTAAAAGAATGTATATATTACAAGAGATTTCCATCTTAATATTCTGTAATCACAATCAATGTTATTCCTTTAAGGCATGCCTAAAAGTTTCGCTTTATCTTGAATTATTCTTTTTTTCAAGTTTGCAGATAGAGGAGATGAGAGGGGGTGTTTTCTTATAATTTATGTTTTGGAAATGACTTTTATATTATTACAACTAAGAACTGTGCACTTTGTATGGCAAGGGCCTGAAAAATAATGTTCGTCAGATTCAACAGTCAAATGTTGCTTGATTTCCTTCAGACTGCTACAGTTTTAAAAGTGCTACCCAAATTCCATATAACAGTATAATTTGAATCTGAATCAATACATTAAACAGTCATTCTGTAACTGGTGTTATATCTCCGATACACGATTCCAGAGTTGTTCCGTCTGTGTTTGTGATAGGGGCCGTTTCTCAATCGCAAGTAAAACTGCTGCAGAGCAACTATTTGAAGTATACTACGTCATTGAGTGGCGCCGAAGGACTGTTTAAACGCATGTTAAATGCCCAGCATTCTGCGCCACTCTATGACGTAGTATACTGGAAATAGTTGCTCTGCAGCATGTGTACTCGCGATTGAGAAACGGCCCTGGTGTTTGGAGAGGACTGTGTTGCACTCTGAGCTTTAACCCCGCTCACAGATGACCTCGATCACACTCTGCTCCATGGGGGCGGGATCCAGGCAGCGGTGGGCGGAGCTCCCCACTATCTCATCCAGCAGAAAGTGCACGAGGTTCTCATCTGAGACAAAGCGCCACAGGTACATCTGCAGGTAGTGGCAGTCCACCTGGATCTGCTGCAGCCCGTAGCGGCCAAAGGTGCGCAGGCGGACACACTCCAGGAACGTCTTCAAACTGATTTTGATGATTCCAGTCATCACAGAGACCTGGGACAGTGAAGAGGTGTGTGAGAGATGTTTTCCACTAAAGGTTCATCAGGATAACAAAGACCTGCACTCACCTTGTTGAACTCCACTGAGCTGAAGATGTCAATCCTCTCAGAAAACAGCTTGTGTATGTTGCTCAGTAGATTAGTATCCATTGGAGCACTGCAGACAGACACAAATTAATTACTCAAGTGCATCCACAATTAAAACAATCACCCTTTTCTTATGATTGAAAACAACTCAGTAACAATTTACCCCAGGGGGTGAAAGTGTAGGATGTAATACAGAGTAGCTGTCTGCTTCTTTTATCTTACCAATCCACTCATAAACGGAGAGAAGAATGCATACGCGTTAACGGTGGATATATGTAACTTGTGACAGTGTCAAGATTAGTGATAGATTTTGCCTTTATATTAAGGAAATGTACATATTCTCCATACAACATTAGACACCCGTCATAAAATGCGTTGGCCGATATTTTGTCCAGGTTGAGTTTGTGATGTTAGTGTGTTATTAGGTAGGTTTGTTTTGTGATGTTAGTGTGTGTGTTATTAGGAGTTTCGTTAGTGTGCTTAGGTTGTTACGTCTGCTGCCTTTCTGGTCGTCTCCTGTCTTATATGTAAATGAGCTGTGCGGGAGCCAATGACGTCAGGGCACCCGCACAGCTCATTTACATATAAGACAGGAGACGACCAGAAAGGCAGCAGCCGTAACAATGCATTATTCTCATACCAAAGAAATAAGAAAACTATATGGAATCTAATACCACTTTAACACTAAAAACAGCATATACCTGGATTATTTTAAACACAGGAAACCCCGCTTAAACTAGGCTATCCACTCAAGTCCTAAAGCTAGTAGATGAGCTTGTCTTTCTGTTGTATTTTGAGTCTCTCTTTCAAAGTCTCAAACCAGAGTTGATGATTGCTGGAACAATGGATTTTAATAAAGTTTCTGTGAATTAAATCTGATGACTTTGAAGAGAGCATATCAATCGTATGTTTTTTATATTTATAGGCTGCATTATTTTTAAAAACCATGTTGGTAATTATAATTGAGCTTGAAAAGGGATCAAAATAAGGGTCCATCTAAGTGTCATGATTCCCAGTGATTACAACAAACAATGTCAGAGTCTGATCGGTTGTAAATGTATAAAAATGCAAACAAAACCCAAATTGTTATCATGCATTTTTTCTTTTTTAAACGTGTGTATGTGTAGCTTGTTTACCTGGGAGTGTAGCTGGCAGCGTAGCGGACCTGCTGCCTGGAGCTGCTGTACACAGAGAAGGTCCTCTTGCTGGAGTCACTGCTGTGGGCTTTCCTCACTCCTTCTTCATACAGAAGACCGACCTGTGGAAGAGCAGAGAAGGTTCGTACAGCGCACACACTGAAGAAAGTATAAAAAGTGGACTTGAGTACATAACACAGATGAAAATATTGTAAACCATTACCTGCACATCTATGGAGGTGGTGTCCTCTACGACTCTCTTCATCACAGCTCGGACGTTTCGTGGCTCAATGGTGTTGACCCAGTCTCGTGTTTCGACGCTCTTTCTTAACATTTGGGAGATGATCAGGCCCTGAACCTGCAAAGACAAACAAAATAATATACACATGTATGAGAAAAAGGTTATGTTGAATATTTCCTGCATTGATGTCTCCATTTCCCCCTCAGTAAGAAAAGTAAGTAGGTGAAAACCTACCTTCACATAGTGGTTCAGCAGTTTCTGTGCTGCCTCCCTTGCTTCTGTGCATAAAGTTGTGACGGGTGTTACGGGACTGTGGTGCTTACAAAGTACACAAAGAAGAAAACATGTATTTAGATGGCAGTTAAGTAGGCAGGAAAGAACACAAAGTAAAATACTTTAGTATGACAGTGTAATGTGGACTTTTGTGCATGACACTGCATTTTCAAAGTCTCAAGCTATTTACCTGCACAAGGAACTGTTCGTCTGTGAGAGTGAGGATGTAGGAGATAGTGGAGGTTTCATAGTCCAGGCAGAGGCGAGACAGCAGCAACAGCAGGGCCGGGGGAGTCGAACCTCCCTTGTCGCCTGCACTCTCACAGAACTGGCGAGAAGACTGGCAAATAAACTTTATAAAGCTCACCACCAGGCTCTCACGCACACCCTGGCTGCAGAATTCACCCTACGAGGAGAAAACACACAGCTGTCAATCTCAAGATTGGGAAGAAAATACTTATTGGGGGGGAAAGCTGTTAAAGGGATGGTTTGGATGTTTTGAAGTTGGGTTGCATGAGGTACTTATGTAAAGTCAGTGTATTTCCCACAATAGATGGTGGTCAGGAAGCAAAACAGCAGCAAACAGTAGTACCGGCACAGAAGCTGAACAAGGCAAAACATTTTAGCCACCTAAATAAAACTCAATATGAGTTTAAATGTACGCTATATGTTTTCAATATTTTATTAGCTATACCTTGCATTCACATAGCCCTTTCTGACTGATAACTGAAGCTTTTATCTCTGTCTTTTATCCGCTCTCACTCAAGCCACAAGAACCCGTCTAAATAAACCTTTTTTCCTAGCAGAAGGAAGGGGTTGTCGGTCCACCGCTGCCTTGTTAGGGGGATTGTGTGACTGTGATTAGTACGTGTTCATCGACATCCCATTATAACAAAAACAAACCCACCGATGGAGGCAGCGGTGGATAGAGCAGGTTGCTTGTTCTGCAATGTAAAATGACTGTTTTATTCAAGGAGTCGTGACGGATGCATAGATCGCAGCTGCTGTTCCCCATCAGAAAGGGCTGTCTGACGGCTATAAAGCCATGAAAATATTCAATGTGTTGCGTAGAATAATTCATATAGGTTGGCCTTTTTTTACATGGCTCAAATATGTTTTGCTGATGTCCTCGTCTCTAGTACATTGCTCTTCTTCTGTGCCATATCTCTTGTCGGTTTCTCGTTACTGAAGGTGTTCCAACCGCCATATAAACTGACTAAGGATAAGTTCCTTATACAACCGTAGTTCAAAACAGCCAAACTATCTCTTTAACTGTTAAACAGAAATAAACTATTCACCTTAAAATACGGCTTGTTGGAGAATGTAATGTCCTTAGCTGTGAAGAGATGCACAGATGCCAACACTGATTTAATCTGGTTGAGAATAGAGGCCGACAGGGAGGAGAGCAGCTCTGGCAGGCTGTTCGGACCATCTCTCCCAGATGGCCCCCCTCCTCCGCCCACTGAAGCACTGGCCACAGAGAGCCGAGGGGTGGCCAGGGCCTGCCTCACGTCCGTCAGGCTGTCCATGTAGAAGCTCTGCAGGGCGGCCAGGTACTGCTTCACTCGCTCCGTGGCTGCACGGATCACAATCTCTGTCCCCTTGGATGGCACTGAAGAGCCTGGCAGCAGTTTGGTCACAGCCTGAAGTCTGCGGTGGAAGCGATCAAGGGCCCGGACCAGGAGGGAGTTATCTCCGACCCCTTTCTCCTCCTGTATCCTCCGCTCCACGAGGGAGAAATACCGAGCGGCCAGATCATCCACAAATGCGTGCAGCTTAGCGTTTGCCATCTGTGGAATGTTTTTGGATGCGAGCTCCCCCGTCTGAGCATGGCTGACAAATAGTTCTTGATAGGATGTTATTACTAGACATAAGCTGCTGACAAATTCATTGCAGCCTCTGTCAATGAACTCCAGGATGTCAGTGTTTGAGGAGGGAGAAAAGATGGCGCTGGCTTTAGGGGAGCTCGCAGCCGGAGATCCTGTAGAGGCAGGAGATGACAGCCTGTGTACAGAGGCATCTTTCACGGCTGAAGCAGACGGGTAGGGTCTTATCTCTGCTTCCAGACCCTGGAGGTCCGACTCAAGTCGAGACCGCGCATGGCTCAAGAATTTATCACAGAGCTCCTCCGCTGGCTCATCCAACTGTAGCAGCAGCTCCACACACTCTGATAAATCTTTAGCGCTTGACCCACCATCCCTGAGAGACAACAGCAAACAGATAGGCAGAACTAGTTGACTCACAGGAAATACATGTGTCACATGTTCAAACTGCAGAAAGATGTGTACAGGCAAGCACATTCAATAATGACAGAACAGCTCTATTTGGACCAATGTTTTCTTAATTTATTTTTTAGTTGAGGGGTATAAATATCTGCAATAAACAATGCAATAGTGAGATGAATCCAACTGAATTGTCCCTCCTGGCTTCCTTAAAATTGACAGCATTGCAGCAATAACAAAAATAGGAGTTTATTCATCTTGTTTTGTGTCTAAGTTTAGAGGATCGTTACATATCGGGTATACAATGAATGTGCAAATGTTGCTTGAATTGTCTTTTTGCTACCAAAGCAGATGTTGATCATCCACGGCCCCTAACTACTAGTTCAGAGGCGTGAGGGTAATTTGTCAATGGCGGTGTAAAACAATCAATACAAATCTGTTTATAAAGAATTGTGAATCACTGGAAACACAAGAGGCCCTAGACTCTAGGGCCTCTTGTGTTTCCAGTGATTCACAATTCTAGGGCCTACTAGAGCATATAGTAATTAATATGAACGAAATATCTTAGGTTGAGGGGACTTGTAGTATGGGAGACAAGCTGTGAATGGACAGAAGGAAGCGCACAAGACCGACATAATATTGAGATAACAATGGCAACGGTCTAAATAAACGTCATGTAATTCTTTTAATCCTATTGTATTTCTATGTTTTTTTCTTTTTACACTTGCATCTCTAATCTGAATGTAAATTGAGAGATTCCCACCTGAACTTCTGTCGAAGCTCCTGTGCCAGCTTGTCCATGATGGCGTGACAGTCATCCTGAATCCCTTTGAAGGAGGGCAGGTGGCTGTACTGCTGCAGCACACAGCGGGCCAGGCGGTGGGATCTCACTGCCTGAGCATAGGCCTGCATCTCCAGACACTTATTCAACCTGGCAGGCAGCTCAAACAGAAACTGCAGCTTCCTTAACAGAGTGTGAACCCCTGGGTTGGGACAAGACAAGAGAAAAATGTGAAAATCATAGCGTCCTTACAACTGACTCAACAAAACAGACTGTCGGTTGAGGTCTCACCTGAGAGCTTTGTAATCTGCGCGTGCTGGTCTTGAAGAGTACCGCTGATCCGAGCGCTGAAGTCAGTGATTGCCGACATGTTAGCAGACAGGCAATCCATTTCATCCTCCATCTTTTTGAAATCATTCTTCATCTTTCTTATGGTGTCTGGAAAAACATGGCTAGATGGTTTAACGATCCGATCCCTCTATGCACATTTCAATGAAACATTTCAACAAGTGGAACAGTAAGCGAGGCGTTCCCTCACCTGTGGCAGATATGAACTTGTTGTAGTTTTCATACACCAGCGTCTGCATGTCACTGTCCAAAGAGCGGATCTGCTTGACCATACAAGTCTCCTGGTCCATCAACTCCGCTAGAGAGCACTCCCTTCTTAGCTGCCATTGAACACAAAACACATAAGGACACAGTCACAAACAGTACATAAAACACAAGGTTCAGTGTTACACTTTCAGTACACCTTTTTCCAGATGATTTACTTAAGTAAAAGTAGCAATACTTCAAAGTAAAAATACTCAGAAGTAAAATTGTTCTTAAGACTAAAAAGTATTTGCATACAAAAATACCTTCAATAAAAGTATGCGTTATGCAACAGATCTTTTTTTCATTATAGGTATTAGAATGACTGATCCATGAATGTGTTCATCACTTCAATGTTGCATTTTATAAAAGGTGGGGTTTATTTGAATGACTTTATACACTTCTGGGTAGCATCACCTATAATATTGTGTGCCTATTTTTCCTTTTAATTAATATCCTAAATTGAGTGTCCATGTTGCCTGCAGGTGATGGTCACACACACTCAAATGTGGGAGTCAACAATGAATGCTGAATGGGACTCTTCCTAATTCATTGCTTTCATTTGAATGTGTTGTCTATTAATCAACACAATCATTTAGAAAGGTAACTGGTCTAGGTCTTCACATTAGAAGCTTCGGGTAACTCTGACATTGAGACAGCGTTAATAACATTATGCGTCACAGTGTAAACAGTTCACATCACAACAGTGGTCCTCACCTTGTTTAAGAAATGCTCGGGGTCAAAATGCGGCCCGTTGATGTCGCAGGGATCCAGGGACTGCGCCTCCTCCTCGGCCTTTCCTTCCTCGTTTAGCCCGTAGTAGAGCTTCAGCATGCCGTGCATCCTGCGCTTCCTGTCGGGGCACGAGTCCTCCGACACCACCGCCTCAGCGTCCATACTGTACCCTGGACAGCTGACAGATAAAAGGAAGGTAAAAACAAATAAAAGGCGACCAGCTGGCAGGAGAAAGCTGACAACCACCACCAAACGAAAAATAGTTATTCTTGCCCTAAAGTGACAGCTAACCGTGCAACTAAGCTGTCTGTTCTTAATAACAGGGCTGTAATAATGAATTGGCAAATGTCATTATCTGCTGTGAGACACAAGCAGCTAGCTTGAAAACGTCACTGTTCCGGGTTTGTAGCCTATCCGGTGTTACGTTTTCAAAGAGTAAGTGAAGTCAAGAGAATTGACTACACTCACTTTTTGAGGAATGTACTTGTCTGACAGCCCGGAAGTACGCTACTGCGCATTTCATACGACTAAAACAAAAAATAAGAAAGCTTTACAAAAAAATTATTAGCTTGCTATTTTATTATTCTACCGAATCACAAGCAGCTAGCTCAAGAAAAGTAACTATGTTCGGGTCGGTGGGTTATCCCGTGTTGTTCTTTTATTACTTCTTCTATTACTTCTACTACTTCTTTTATTTTTTTATGGTGGACTACAAACTGTTAAAGGTGCCTGCCACCACCTAGTGCACCGGTGTGTGTCACGTCAAGACCGAAAGTAAATGTCTTTAAACGATTAAATTAAACAAAAAAACAAAACAAAAAAACGATGCTATACTCCAGATATAGAATAGCCAATGCAGGTTTCCTTTTCATGAAACCTACATTGTTCAAAGATTTAAATAAAGCCCTTTAAACCTGTGGTGTTACCTCTGTCAAAGAGAAGGTGTGGTCAAGAGAATAGACTCACTTCCGTGATGAATGCACTTCTCGTCTAACACTCCAGAAGTGCTCTACTGCACATGTCACACACTCTTCAGCATTCTAAAGTAACATTATATTACGAGATATTTTCATGAAACCTTTGTAATTATATTACATAACATTAGTTAACAAAGAAGCTGGCTGGCCTCATGCAACTCTTGAGAACCAATGGTTTGTCTGAGTAAATAATCAATCAACCAGACAACAATTAAGACAAACAAGAATCAACAAATTACAATTAAAACAATGATTTGGAACTCCTGCCTCCATGTGCTCATCTTTAAATCCACTGCGTTGACTGTTTAAACCTTGAACCAACCGCCCTCACCACCCTCCATATTCTTCAGTATATATTGGATTAGTATGTTGTTTGTCCATTTCAAATGGATCAGTATTGGATCCTGTCCTGTCAGGAGGGGGCGACAGTGGAGCATTTGAAACTGAGGAAACACCTTTTGGCCGATTTGTAGCTTCTCTTTCTGCATAGAAAGACCTGTCTAACAGCAATATCTGATCATAATGATTACAATTTAGCATTTTCTGATTCTATATGTATTTATAAAAACTAAGACCACTAAAAACAAGGACAATTTTGGACCTTCTTGACTTATCAATAAACCAGAGATCTGTTCTTGCCTTCTCCTTTGCTAGAGTGGAAATAAGAAATTGAGACATTTGAATCCATTACAAACGAAGGGCAACACTCTTTATCTTGAGAAAAAAACACTTTTCTTTTATTGGTCAAAGACTGAAAATCTGACAAAAGACTATATAATATTGCATTATGCACATCAATGTATCAGTGGAATCATAACCTTTGATCTGCTCGGCATTGTTCAACGTATTAGTATTTATTTAAAGTAAATACAATATTATTAGGTGCATTGAAAACTATTTACACATTAATCATAGAGCAACGGTTAAAATAGGTCTTAACGATAAACCACATCCCTCAGTAAATTACCAATTTGTAACCAACACGTTCTTGATTTCACCGTAAAATAAATCTACAACTGTATTATCTGAGAAGAGCGCAAAGCAAAATATAAGGTTTTAGGAGAAAGAGGTTAATGGTGAGACATTTCTTTCTTCGGTGCCTCTCACATAAATGAGATCATTAGGCTTACATTGATGGACATCCATGTATAGAAATAAAAACATAGTGCCTCGATAAACTCACACATAAGTAGGTGAAGTATTACACACACGTTTAAGAGTTGGATAGGCCTGGCATCAATTTATATAAAAAAGAAAAAAAGCATATCAGACATATTCTAATGAAGGCAGATTAACCACTCAATTGAGAGGAATCACACTGTTCAACAGCAGCCCAGTGTAGTCATCCACTTTATCAATATACTCACATCAGCTACAGTATGAAATATGAAATGCATGGTGTAGCTGGAAATGTGGAAATATATTATAAAACATGATTATATATTTTTTTTAAGCCATAGCAATAATATCCATTCCTGGTTTCCAAGCACCAAAAACAGTCATTCAGACGCCAACTGAGTACAAACAAAAAGGCACTTAATGCAAAGTGAGACAATGACCTATTTCTTTGCTTCATTCTTGTGTATGAACACTGACAAGTATATGAAAACTAAATACAAATATTTTCGTGTAAAAGCTCACAAACCATAGAAAAACAAGTATATAAACAGTGTATTAGTATTAACAGTGCAGTATCAGGTGTGTGTAGTCTGATGTGGAATGCCTATTCTACAATGTGACATGCATAGTGTAAGTTAGCAACAGCTGACATATTGAGTTAAAGAAAAGTACAAATATTTGTCAGTTGGCATGCTGTGGAAAAATCAGGAAGAATACATGATGTGGAAGGCAGTATGTCAAATGGCTATTAGTGATTAGAGCTTGTTTGTTGAAGTACATGAAAGAAGAAACGGCCTGTATTAGCATTAGGGTGAAGTTCAGAGAGGCAAATGGAGGGACATGTTGTGGAGACTGAGGTCTGGCTTTAAGGTAGCATACTGTGTTGCAGCACGTTAGAAGGCTTGCTTTGGTGTACAGACTGAGAGTTCAACAGCATAGTCAGAGGTTATTGGTCAGTTGGTCTGCCACAGAGCACATAGTCCTGTCCTTTGAAAATTAATCTCAGAAATGACTTATTTTATAGAAGCAGTTTTGCTCCTTAACACATTAAGAAAACTGTACTATTTCTAAACAAAAGAAAAATGCAAAAAACAAACAAAAGTGTATCCATCGTAGTCACCCATTTTTGTGTTTGCAATGGAAACAATTATTTCAACACGGGATCCACAAGTAGTAGAGCGCTAACAGTAAGGAGGTTGTTTTTCTTTCTCATCAGTTCTGCATCGGTTTTACTTTGAAGTCTGAAACTTTGACCATCAAAAAGAGATCGGTTAAATTCTACTTAGCTCTTTGATCAACAAGTAATCACAAAAGAACACAAAGTAAACTGCTTGGCAAAAATCAGAAAGCCTCAAATAAATGGGCTTAGAGCCTTCACGTTTAAACTTAACGTCTTAAAAAAGGATGGTCTCATGTCCTTGGATCCAAAGAGCACTTATTCTGCCAAGCTGCTGTTATTCTGTTCTCCTTTTAAACTTGAACCTGCTTATCATTCAGTAGCATAACTATGGTGATTTGATACAATAATTGCTAACGAGAGTTTTTGTTAAATGTCCGTTTTATCCTATTCCTTTTTACGTTCACAGCAGAATTATTTGATATGAATGATATCTTTAAACAATGTACTGAAGAGATGGTTCCCCAGCACAGACACAGTGCTCCCATACGGACTCAGTAACAACCACTCAACATTTCTACCAGTACTTTTCTAAAGTGTCTTCACCCTTAGATGAGGACAAGGCACTGGCAGTTTGAAAAAGCAAAAAAGTTGAGAGCACGCCCTTATATCGTCCCCTGACAGTGACAGTCATGTTGAGTGTGTTAACTCTCACAAAAAGTTGGTATGGTGATATATATTTTGTACGTCAAAGTCCCCCAAAAGAGGTAAAGCAGTGGTTATACTCTAATGAGGTTTACATTTTTGAATAGCAGTAAACGCAGCTCCTTAGTGCTGCGGAAAGGACAGAACGGCCATGAGATATACAGTCATCAACTGAGTCATTGTCTGAGGATTTCTGTAGGGCTAACTTAGTCTCACGAAGTCAGAGAACGGTGTATTCACCTCCGCCAAGGATAGTTCAGGGCTAAGTTTGTCTTTCAGCAGGATTACGGGAAAAGTGCCACATATTCAGGACATGTTCAGGACATTTAGTGGAGGGGTGTATCACGTGCTAAAGAAGAACCCATGACATCCAAATCACAGGGTGGACACATTAGTGCTGCATTCATAAAGCGTTTGAAAACTTAATACACTGTTAGCATTAAACTAAAACACATCTTTGCTAATGAACATACTGCAGTTGGAAACAGGATACTTCGGGGAGCATGTGAATGCACCACTGGCCTTGGCGGAGGTCTGCTCTTTTGAAATGTCATTATAGTTTCTTTATGTAAGGCTACTCAATAGAAAATAGCCCCTTCAGTTCGACCTCAGAAGAGTAGAGGTTATTAGACCCTTTTTGTTTTTCACATATCTGTATTCTTAATATAAACACAACTTCAGAGAATAAACATTGTCACTCACACCTAGATGCCTCACTTGGTCCTTTGCATGTTCATATTTTTTCAGTTAAATGTCTCAGGCTTGTATCAAGTCTTCTCCTTAAGTATCAGTGTAAAGTGTTCAGGTTTGGTCTTTGAGAGGCATGGGGGCCTCTGGCGAGTTTACCCCTGCTCCAGATTCTCCGCCACCTGCACAGCAGAGTAGGTCGCTGCAGAGTACGTGGCTGCAGACACCTGGCGGGTGAAGAAGGACGCGGCTCGCTTGGGTTTCAAACGTTTGATTTCTTTTCCTAAAAGACAACGGAGAAGAATATTGATTTAATACACCAATTGAAGCTTCTAAAAGGAGATTGTCTTAGTCTAGAAGTAGCTTATTTCAAAAAGGGTAAATTGCGAGTAGTATTTATTACTGTATTCAAGAATTAGACTCACCATTGTCCACGTAGCTGATAGTGTTAAGTGAATGGACCCGACTGCAGACCACGCTGCTCTGCCTGCGCAGCATCCCGCGCCGTCCTCCTCGTCCGTTCTTGTTGTTGCCGTCCTGCCCCCCAGGCTGCTGATGTGCCCCCACCTCTCCGTCCATCTCGGCTGCAGCTCCTCCCTCAGACGCAGACCTCAGCTCCACACAGAACTCAATGAAGCCGCTCATTAGCTCTGCCTTGAAGACAAAAGAAAGATCGAATGTTTAACAAGGCCATATTACATGTTTTGTGGAGTTCCCTTTCCTGTCGTGTGTTATATAGGTTTCTGTGCAAAGCCTGAAATCCAAAAGTTGCCTACAGAAGGAGTTTCTCTCCCACAAACATGCTTTTGAACATTAAAGCATGTAAAGATGTCACAGTCTCAAATACAATTATGAACCTGAAAATGAGCATGATAGGGCCCCTTTGAGTCTAAGCCTTACATTAGAGCTGCAACAATTTCTTGATCAACAGCAAATAAAGACTATTTTGATACTGGATTAACCAAAGTCATTTTTTTATGGAAAACTGTCAGAAAAAGCAGTTTTCAGCCTCTTAAGTGTGGAGTTTTCTTGCTTTTCACATTTAAGTGAATAAATGAAATACTAATTAAACGGCAGATACAGTATATCGATATTGAAAATGATAGTGTTTTGCGGCCCTATCTTAAACTGTACATAAACAGCTGTACTTCACATGAAGGGGCATATTGCCAGTTTTGGATTAGGTGCCTGTGGGATTATGTATCGCGCCTCAACCATTATGTAACCTCTCTTCACCATCTATTGACTTTTAAACCTAACCATCATTGAACACGGATGATACATAAGAGTACAACAAAACATTTGAACTCCATTAGGTTTCAACACTAATATCGAGTGTTGGGTTGAGAAACAATTTGCATAGCAGCTGCACCAGAAAAACACCAGGTGTTGTGCGCTGTGACACACATAAAAGGACAACATCTGTCTCAGCAGCAAGATGTTTCAGAATTGATGATGACAGGAAAAATAAATGCTGAAAAGTGGGGCGATGTCAGTACCCATGCTGGTTGGTGACACTGTATGTGCTGGTGTTAAATATAGTCTTATAAAAATGATTAGGGAATTCAATCTTATTTCACAAATATTCTCTTGTTTTCCATTTCACCTGTTTTGAATAGATCTTCAGCAACTTGTTGACAGGAGTGCCGTCTTCCTCTCCATCAAACTCCAGCCACAGGATGTGTGAGTCCCCCTGCTCCTCGGGGTAGCTGTGGTCCCAGGAAAGCTCGTTGAAATGCAGACCCAGCAGCACATGCTGGGAAAACATGGGTTTAACCGGAGTAATCAGATTCGTTTTCATAAAGGGAAATGCTCTCAATGCTTATGCAGGTATCCACAAGTACAACGTGAGAAACATGGCATTGTGCTAGGCCTTTCACAATAACTACTGTTGTTGGCTAATACATGTCCCAGAAATAACTATTTCATTGTTATATTAACACAATTGTATGCCACTGATATAGTGGTAAAATAAAGCAAAAACACCCTTTTAAAGAGCAAAAGCAGCTAGTTTTCAAGAATAGTAAGAAGTATTGGAATGTGAAAAAAATATAAATGATAAACTCTCTGGCTCTGTGTGCAATGACTGCATAAGGATGATGGAAGTGTGGTGGAAGGGAAATCCTGCAGTTCTGGCAATATGTTGGCTAAAATGTAAGTGATATTTTTATTTAAACACATGTAAATATAACGGGCAATCATGAGGTCAGCATGTATTATCAGGTATATATACATATATGGGACGATAAGTTGATAAATGTGTGCTCACCTTCTCTTTTACATCCATCACATAAACTCCCTCCAGGCAGATCCCAACATTGACAGCTTTGCGTTTGGCCCTTTGGAGAATCCCTTGCACTGGTTTGTCAATCTCTCCACCGAAGAAAGCGCACCTGTTTGTGTAGTAAATTCAGAGTATAACTTAAGAGTGAAAAATAAAACTACAACTACCGTAATTTTCGGACTATAAGCCGCGCCTTTTTCCCTATTTTTCGACGCTGCGGCTTATATAACGGTGCGGCTAATCTATGGATTTTTACAGCTAACGGCCACTACGGGACCTCC